AATTCCTAAAGTGCGGGGTACTTCGAGAATGCCAGTCAGCTTGGAACACTCCTATCTTGCCTGTACAAAAGCCCAATGGCACATACCAGCTGGTCCAGGACCTGAGGGCAGTTAATGAGCGGGTTAAGACTCTACACCCCCTTGTTCCAAATCCGTATACATTGTTGGCCTCTATGGGGGGCAGTACACCCATTTTTCAGTCCTGGATTTAAAGGATGCTTTCTTCACGATTCCAGTTGACCCCCAGTCTCAGGAGATTTTCTCCTTCGAGTGGGAGGACAAAAGGAGGGTTAGAAAGCAGCTTTGCTGGACAGTGCTGGCTCACGGATTTAAAAATTCCCCCACCCTTTTCAGCCAGGCCCTGGCTAGAGACTTGGAGGAGTGGGACAACGAGGACAAAGTCCTCCTCCTGCAATATGTGGATGACTTATTAATTGCTGCAGTGGGTCTAACCTCTTGCCTTAAAGCCACTGTGAGCCTCCTGAACTTTGTTGGACTTCGAGGATATCGAGTAGCACTGAGTAAGGCTCAAATTGCTCCCCCAGTGGATGGAATCTGACAACGGAACACACTTCACATCCCAAGTCATTCAGAAGATATCGGATGCCCTACAGATCCCCTGGAAGCTTCACACGCCATGGCGACCGCAGGCCAGTGGGGTAGTGGAGCGTACAAATCAGACACTTAAGCGGCACCTCTCAAAGGTTTGCCAAGAGGCTTTCCTTAGGTGGCCTGATGCTTTGCCCCTTGTTCTGCTCCGCATTCGCGCTCTCCCTAAGGGCAGGTTAGGGCTCAGTCCCTTCGAGATTATGTTTGGAAGGGCATGGCCTATGAATGGTACATCGGTTCTGGCAGGGGAGTGGGAAATGGGGTGTGGCTTCTTATCTCAGTACATGTGCTCTCTGTCTGCTGTTCTCTGTTCTCTCCACAGGTATACCAAAGATTTGCAACCTCTCCCGCTGGATGCCCCGATCCACTCCTTGCAGCCAGGCGATTCCGTACTCGTCCGGACCTGGAAGGATGAGCCTCTCCAAGAGAAGTGGAAGGGACCCCACACCGTCCTGCTGGTCTCCCATACAGCAGCAAAGGTTGAGAGACACAAAAACTGGATTCATCACTCTCGTCTGAAAGCAGTGCCTGCTCCTGAACGGTGGACCGTCCAGCCTGCAGAGAAGACTGCCAGCGACGATTTGGGACTTAAGCTGTTATTCAGACGACAATAGTGTCTGCTGAGAATGCCCTGTGATCTCTTTGGACAGTCACAGCGCACTCCCTGCGAGACCTCTGAGCGTTGGTTGTGTTTGTTTTCATAGGACCAGCCTAACCTAGTGGCCTGGTCCCTTTTGTTTTTAATCTGCTTACTTTTGATAATTGTTATTTTGTGGGTATTTGGGGAATTGTGATTGTTAGGCCCTAGGATCACCTGCCCAATATGAGTTCAGATCCAGGGTCTGCCACAGTGGTGCTCTTTGCCATAGGGACACTCCTCTTGTTAACTCCCGTTTCTCCCCAGGCACATGCGGGATGGAAAGGGATCCCTACTAACTTAGAGACAAACACATATGAGTCCCTGAAGGTTTGCTTTGCCCAAGAGTTTAACCTCTCCAACTGCTGGGTATGCTCCCAAATCCCACACCATGCTGCAGGGTTACCCTGGAAGGTGGTTCCCCAGAAATCCCGGCATACTCTCTCATTGAGAACCCCAGCTCCATGGCACTCAATCGTATCTTGTCTACAGAATATGAGAAAACTCAGCCAAAAGCTTGTTGAGTATTCTCAAAGGAGGGAGCTGTTGGGGTTACTAGGCCTGCCTGAGCCAGAGTTCTTCCATGTTTAAACTCTGTCCTTCCATGTTTAACTCTGATCGACCTCAACAACCAAGGACAGGAATTGGAATGTGTAAATAGCCAGTTAGCAATTACAACCTTGTTCATACCAGGTACCAAACAATAATGATGATGTTGGCATGTTTCTAGCTGGGGAAGGGGTAATAAAGTAAGGGTAAACAGAACCAAATAACTGTTTGGGGAGAAGTTACTAACAAGCTGGATTTATAGCCCTAGAATGATTTAATTGCTTAAATGTATAAACATGCCTTTGGTAGAGAGGGGAGGGGGAGTGGGGGGGTGATAGAGAGGGGGAGAGAGGGGGGGCTTAGTTGTAAAATGTATAAAGAAGAGAGAAACTGTTTTTGCTGGTGTGCTTGATTTGAGACTTGCCTGTCTCCTTGCACCACTTTGAGATCTCAAATAAAACTTTGATTGTTTCTCCACCCCGGTATGTTTATTGGCGCGAAGCACTCCGGGCAACGAACCCCACTGTTGCTGTCCTCGGGCCCCTGTGCCGGCAACAAGAGGTCACAACATGGCCCAGAGCACGCAGCTGCATAGGCAGGCAGCATGGTGCAGAGCAGCTGCTGTTCATGGACATGAGGTGTGGCTGCAGGGGCCGTGCTACTTATTGGAAGGCCAGACCATCCTTGGACGGCAGCTGCAGTGAACGGCAGGCTCGAATGAGAGAGTTATGGAATCTATAAATGACAAACAGTGGCCTTGTTAAATATGAGTGGCACTTGCTTTAATGCAGAGAACAGCACACAGCTCAGGGGGTTGATTCTCCATAGAGGGATTTTCCACAGCTTGATACAAGCATGCTCCCAGACGCCCCCTGCTGCCCTGGAGTGAATAAGCTACAAAGCAACAGCAATCAGCCCCACTGTGTCTGCTCCTGTGCTTACCCAGCTGCACCCTAACTTGGATGCAGGTCTCATGAAACAATTTTAAAGTGCAACTGAATAATCATGGTGGGGGGAGTGGAAAAAGGACCACAGCTCCATGGCCTGATCCTGCCCATGGAAATCTTGGCCATCTGAGCTAACAGCAGCTCCTGCTCAAGGGAAGTTTCTGTGTGTTGGGAAAGGAGGCTGAAGGTGCCCTGATTGCCCGGATAGCTGTGAAGGGAGCATGATGGCGCACATTTGAAAGGAGCAAAGGGAAGTTGTGTTTTGCATTCCTGTTGTGAAAGGGGATGAATCTGTGGCTCTCCTCTGGGCCCCAGGTAGCTCTGTCAAAGGGGGGAGGAACAGACCTTGTCCTCCCCTCCCACTGCTGCTATGTACCTATGATTTGATCCAATCCTGCACCCAGTTTTGCTGTTACATCAGTTTTATGCTAGTCTAGCTCCACTGATGGCAGGTGAGTTACTCCTGATTTACACCATTGTATCTGAGATCAGTATTGGGGCTTTGCTTCTCCTGGGTACAGGCATAGCAGAGAAGCTTAAAAGCCAAGCTGCAGTGAAGAGAAGAACAATGGCAAAAATCCAACCAAACAAAAAAAGACACACCAGTGTCCAACCCACTAGGGGACAGGGGAACCTAAAAAAGGGGGTGGTGCTGATTGGGCAGAGGGTATTGCCATGACAAATGGGGATGCACTGAATCAGGGTGGGTCCTCAGTGACTCCCACCAGCAGGGTTTACAACAGCATCATCTGCCTTCCATAATTACCCTGCAGAACTCCCTGCCACTAGACAGCAAGATCTTTGCAGGACTAAAACAAAACAAAACAGGAATGGACATTTATATGGATACTGTGAGCATCCAGAGTTATAATATTAAGGACTAAAAATAAACAAGAGCCTTTTGAAGGAATCTAAACCCTCCTGCTTCAGGCCATAAGTCAATTTTTAATTAATGAGGATTAGTAACAAGCGCCTCTTAGAGGACAGGTTATCCCATGACTAGAGGGATTTGTGCCCCTTCCTCTGAAACAGCTGGTCCTAGCCGCTCTCATACAGGACACTGGGCAAGTTGGACCTATGCTCTGATCTGCTCTGGCAATTCTTATGATCATGGATTAATCTGAGAATTAGGCTCAGAGCAGAGTGTGAGGAACCTGGTGTTCTGTTCACCTGCTTCCCAATATAGACACACACTTTCTGGCTCACATAAATTGTAACAAGGTGTGAACAAGGAAGCTTCCATTTAGTGCATCACCGGACAGTGGTTATACTTGGTCTGACTCCTACACTGAGTCTAGTTTGTATGTTGTTGGTGCCATGTGATATGGAGAGGCTGGAGGGACAAAGAGCTTGTGGTAGTTTCTGTGGGGAATCTGCCATGGAGAACACGTCTGAAAATACTTAGTGTAACATGGTGCATTGCAAAGGCAGAAGGGGCCCTCTAGAAGCATAGTTCTGAGCTGCAGGGGTAAATGCCTTCTCCAGACAGGAATGATCTAGAGAGCAATCAGATGCAAGACAATGACCTCACCCCACCAGGGCCGCCCAGAGAATTCAGGGGGCCTGGGGCAAAGCAATTTCAGGGGCCCCTTCCATAAAAAAGAGTTGCAATACTATAGAATACTTTATTCTCGTGGGGGCCCCTGCAGGGCCTGGGACCTGGGGCAAATTGCCCAACTTGCCCCCCCCCCGGGCGGCCCTGCACCCCACCTATAAATCTGGTGTCCCCACCTCCCTCTCCTCCTGGCCCATCATTGCCAATCACACAACACATAACCCAGGGGCCTAACAGATGCTGCTGTATTGATGTACTGTACATGCCAGAACAATGAGAGAGGACAGGCAACACGTTCCTGGACAGTGTGACAGGGTCAGGCCAGATGGATACAGGAGAGTGTTAGAAGGCAGATATATTAGTCCCAGATTAAGTAGATCCCTTTTTCCTGGGTAAGGTAACGGGCAGTTCCAGAACAAGCAGGAACTTGCTAGAACCAATTAAGGCAGGCAGGCTAATTAGGACACATGGAGCAAATTGAGAAGAAACTGCAAGAATCAATTAGGACAGACTGGATAATCAGGGCACCTGAGTTTTAAAAGGACCTCATTTCAGTTTGTAGTGTGCATGCGAAGAGCTGGGAGCAAGAGGCACTAGGAGCTGAGAGTAGTAAGGTGTATTGCTGGAGGATTGAAGAGTACAAGCATTATCAGACACCAGGAGAAAGGTCCTGTGGTGAGGATAAAGAAGGTGTTGGGAGGAGGCCATGGGGAAGTAGCCCAGGGAGTTATAGCTGTTGTGCAGTTGTTCTAGGAGGCACTCGAGACAGCTGCAGTCCATAGGGCCCTGGGCTGGAACCCGGAGTAGAGCGGTAACTACCCTGAAAATCAAATCCCAGACTGTCTTGTTATGAAACAGAGTTCATACAGAGAAACAAGGGGAGCCAAGATGTGTGCCTTTATTGGAAGTGGCACAGATTCAGGGCAGGGTGAGACCAGTGCCAGCAGCTACTCAGAAAGCACTAGCCTTGGGAAGAGGCCTAAGTCTATTTCAGGACACAGAGGAATGCAGTGGAACCTTGCTAATTTGCACCAGTGACTGGGGGACATTTGCAGTGCGTGAGGCTAGATGCACTGGGATAAAGCATCATACACTGGTCTGCTGGAGGCTGGGCTGATGGGGAGGAAGCACAGTCTAAGGAATGGGCACTGCATCAGGACACAGGTGGGTTCTCCCTCCCCCCCCCACCCCCCCCCCAGTACCAGCACTAACCTGCTGGGTGACTTTGGGGAGGCACTTCACCTCTCCATGCCTCTCACTCCTCATCCCACACTATCTACCTCACCACTTCAGCTACCATCTCTTTGGCACAGGACCACCTCTGTGGGTCTCTCCCTATTGCAGTCTCAGGGTGCCTTTCCAGTTCATGCAGTACTACTCTAGTTAGCTTGGTCCCAGAGTAGTGCTTCAGCACAGGCTGTACAAAGCCAGCTAGCTGGGGTACATCACACCCCATGACTGCAGCATAGACACCCCCTATGTTTGTACAGCACTTGGCACAATAGGGCCCTGATCTCAGCTAGCCCTCTATGGAATAGCCAGCATGGATTTGTCAAGAACCAATTATGCCAAACCAATCCTATTTCCCTTTTTGACAGCATTACTGCCCTAATGGATTGGGGGGAAGTGACATATCTTTGATTTTAGTGAGGCTTTTGACAGTCCCACTTGACATTCGCACAAGCAAACTAGGGAAATATGGTCTAGATGAAATTACTATAAGGTGGGTTCAAAACTGGTTGAAAGACTATACTCAAAGCATAGTTATCAATTGTTTGCTGTCAAAATGGGAGGATGTATCTAGTGGGATCCCACAGGGGTCAGTCCGGAGTCTGGTACTAGTCAATATTTTCTATAATGACTTGGAAAATGGAGTAGAAAGCATGCTTATAAAATTTGTGAATAACACCAAACTGGGAGGGGTTGCAAGCAGTTAGGCAGGATTCGAATTCAAAGTGACCTTGGCAATTTGAAGTACTGGTCTGAAATCAACAAGATGAAATCCAAGAAAGTAAAGTGCAAAGTGCTTCACTTAGGAAGGAAAAGTCAAATGCATATCTGCAAAATGGGGAATAACTGGCTGGGTGGCAGTGCCACTGGAAAGGAGCAAGGGGTTATGGTGGGGCACAAACTGAATATGGGTCAGCAATGTGATGCAGTTGCGAAAAAGACTAGTGTCCTGGGGTGTGTTGTGTTGTGTGCAAGACACAGGGGGTAACGATACCACTTATAGGGC